AAACTGCCAGAGTGAGAGATTTTGTCAACTTCTCTACCCTGATATATAGTGTCAGATGGATGACATGCAGTTCAGCTACAGATGCGCCATGTAATGATCTCATGCTATTCCGATCATTGTTGATGTACACCCTAAGATATCAGAGAGTGTGTTGAGAGCGCTTAAACGACATCTATGGTATTTAAATGAAGAAATAGTGCCTCATCCACTTTAAAGCAATAAAGTTCCACCTACCGAGCAGAGAGCTCTTGCTGACCGTCTTCTGGAAATCAAACCAGGTATTGTAATGTTTCAATCAAAGCACCGTTTTGGTACAGGATTCGGAAAACCAGATTTTCCTGAATCAATTACATTATCAACAACGCTTGCTGATCTGGTGGGAATTGATTTGTGGTTCTTGTTTGACATCCTACAGGTAGACTCCGAGTTTGTGACTGAGAACATTGTGAATTGGCCTAGTTGCGCTTTATATCAGGTTTCAATGATTAACATTCAAGCATTGAATGTGGTGAATGAGAGTGCGGAGAGAGGGATGAATCAACAGCCAAGTGTGGAAAACATTATTAAAATATCTTTCAGGTTGTTGAGAAAGACCAGAATTGCGGCCAGACATTAGAAAACGCAAGAAATGAGTAGAATGACTGACTGACACTGTTTTCATTGGGGTTTGACCCAGGGTTGGCAAAAACCCGGGTTTTTTTAAAAAAACCCGGCCCAGTGGGTTTTTTTGGGTTTTATTGGGTAAATTTGGGTTTTTTTGGGTTTAATTTTTATTTTGTCCCTGTAAAAAATTTTTTTGTGTTTTTGTTTAATGATATTGAAAATTAGTTTCATTTTCTACTTTAACTTTATTCAAAACATATTTTATATATTGTTGTTTAATTATTTATAACAAGAATTCTTCAAATTGATTTGAAAAAGATTTTTAAATATAATTTAAAACTGTAAAAGAAAAAAAAATTTCACGCTTAATCTATATGTATTGATTTATTTTAAATTTAAAAGTATTATTCTATATAATTAAAAATGTCAATGAGAAAATGGGAAAAAGAAGGCTAGAGAATGGGAGGTAGTAACTGAAGTTTAAATTAAACTTTGAACTTGAAATTCAAATGAACAAACTTGTTCCTCTGCGCAGCGGCCTTGTTTATAAAGATTCATGTTTAGGAGTTAAAGAGTTTTTTTTTTTAGTTTTTTTTTTAATCAATTCACCTCCTTAAGGTTTAAGGCCACTACAGGCGAGGAGGCTATTTATTTGTAGTTATAACCTTCTCTCAACTCTATAACTCCAAAACACGAACCTTGACGAACAAGGCCGCTGCGCGGAGAAAGGAGTTAAGCGCAGTACTGCCAGGGACGTAGTGGGGATCGAACTCGGAACCTATCACTTATGAAGCGAGCACTCTACGACAACACCACTACCGCGTTAGAGTTGAGAGAGGATTGTAACCACAACAAGGTAGCCTCCTCGACTGTTGTGTTGGCTTCTCTGGTCACTAATACTCATTTAAATTAAACTTGGGAGGTGAATAACATAAAGTAATAAAAATCTCAATCGATAAAAATATTTGAATAAAAATTGTAATAATGTATTTCCAAATAATGATTCAAATAATAGTAAACCTGCTCTGATAGCTGTTATTGTTGGTTATAGTAGTTAATAATAATAGTTAATAATAATTTAGTTAATAATAATAGTTAATAATTATTTTAGTTAATAATATGATAGTTATAATGTTAAAGTTGGTTATAATAGTTCATTAACTTGATAAATATCTTTAAAAAACCCAATAAAACCCAGATTTTCCAGGGTTTTATTGGGTTTTTTTAGGCGGGTTTTTTTGAGTTTTATTGGGCGGGTTTTTTTGGGCGGGTTTTTTAATGCCAACCCTGGTTTGACCGGCTTTTGTTCAAACTCAAGTTTATACAAATATTCTTAATTTGTTAGTGTCACTGTTTGCTGTGTAACTGCCTATCATAATAAGTGTTTTAGCTCAATAAATGAGCTTTGTTTAATTAAAAAGCTTAATTAACTTAGTTTTAGAACATGTTGATTAATTTTAAATGTAATTAATTTTCTGATTATATCCAAAACTTTGTTTGCTTGGTGGACCACCTAGATAACGTTCAAATTTTCTGAAACTGCATCAAAAATGTTGTTTTGGTAAGAGGAACAGAATTAAATTGGGGACAAACACTTTTGACAAAATTTTCAAAATGTTGGGGCACTTGATGCACCCTAATATATATATATATTACAAATATATATATTACAAATATATATATATATATATATATATATATATATATATATATATATATATATATATATATATATATATATATATATATATATATATATATATATATATATATATATATATATATATATATTACAAATATATATATATAACAAATATATTTGCAATATATTTGTTATATATATAGTTGTAAATAATAACAGTAACTTAGGCTATTTTAAACTCTGCCAAATAAAAAAATTATAAGATTTTATTATCTTATGTTTAACATATGTTTAGCATGCTCAAAAAATAATTGAACTAACAATCGATTTAAAAGCAAAAGATGATTTAATTCTACAAAAAGATTTAATGTATGTAACTTTTTGTTTTTGATTTTAAAATCTGTTATCAGATCTTTTACAACTTAATAAGTTTTATAATTTTAACATAAATATATGCATAATTAACATCTTTATATGCATGATTAGTATTCAAGAAAATCAAAATCAAATGGATAGTGTTCTTTCAGAAAATGGATGGCTAAATTCACTTATTGCTGACTTGGAGCTGCTAACCAGGTTGTTTTTATAGTAACCAGGTTTTTTTAGTATAGCAGTTCTTTCTTTTTTAAAATTTAATATCTATATTTCTGCACTTCTGTAGTGTAGGCGATGAAATTTGGTTGTATGTTTTTTAAATCTTAACATACTCATACTGTGAAATTAGTAACATTAATGTTTACTTAAACTAAGAAAAGAAACAATTTTCATAAAATATCCAATAACAAAAAATCTTTATTACAAATACGTATTTTTCTCAATTTTTATCATTTCTTTATGCTTTGATAACAAAGTAAATGGTTTATTATCTCTTACATTTAATAATATACTATTTTTGTTTATTACCTCCTACAAAAAATAGTAAAAAATAAGAATAAATAAATTTGTATCATTCAAGTAATTGATAAAATTGTCAATGTTTCTAACATATGCTTTTTACTGCTTTTTACCGTGACATATTGAAATGTTTTTTTTGTATCAAGTTTTAGCTTTTTTTTTTTAAATACAATTTTTGCTTTAATAAAACTTTCTCTTAAAGATGATCCACAGACTAGGGATGACTCAGGGAATAACAATTTATTTACAAAACTAATGTTTTATTAATGAATTATTAAGGGAAATAATTGGAAATACAGTTTTGTCATTAGGGGCTTTCATTAGGGGTTTTGCAGTTGCTTACCTGGTTCTTCTTTAAACTGATTAAGACTACTAGTTTTTTCATCTAAAGTAAGAAAATAGTGGTGTATTTGTTAAATGGCAACAGTTTGTTATCATGGAAAAAGGAAACTAACATTGCAGTGATCTTGTTTTTTATTATCCATCAATGAAATTTACACCATTTTATTTATTATCTTCGGTATTTAAAACATTTTATTCATATACATATAAAGTTCGATTAAATTCCTAATTTGTTCGTTATGTTTAATATCTACAATATCAAATTTTGAGTATTGCTCTTCTATTACTGAAAGTAGTAACCATTTTATAAAAATAGGTTGTACTTTTTGATTATCATGTCCTAACTGACTTAATACATTGAATGCATTTTTTCTTGTTCTTTGATTTTTCTTGACTACTTATCATTTGGTCAATGTCTATACTTTTTTCACCATTATTTATTAACACAAGTCCTGCAAACCAGCCCTTGCTTTGCTGCAGCAGCTATATGACTTTTTTTTTTTTGCGATTATATATTAAAACAACAGGCAGCTGTTTATTTGAGTATTTTGTTACATTTTAGTATTTTTATGATTCTTTATTTGTAATACTTAAAGAACTTGCAAAAATTATCTCTTCTTGTAAAAAACTTTTATTCTTAACACTCGGTGTAGTTAAGGGGACTTTAGAATATTAAAATGTAATAGGTTTAATATGATCTGTTCTACTTATTTATTGGCAATTTTTCCTAATTATAAGCTCTTTCTTGGTCAGAATTTTTTTTTTTTATGTAAAAGTTAATAGAAATGTGTTTTGACAATTATATTCAATCAATATGCACTAGAAAAGATAAAAGCTAGGATCTTTAGTAGTTTTTAAATTAAAATGTGAACATAATAGTGTCAGAGGTTGATAATTTTTTGCCAACCTTTTCTTTGTTGTTGTGAATAGTTTATTTGTTGTTAAATAAATTTAATTTAATTACTTAGTTAAAAAATGGGGTAAACTACTAATTATATTCCGAGTTCGTTCACCACCACGTCCCTGGTAGTACCACCATGTCCCTAGTAGTTAAAAAATGGGGTAAACTACTAATTATAATCCGAGTTCGATCCTCACCACGTCCCAGGTAGTACCGCGCTCAACTCGTTTCTCCGCGCAGCGGCCTTGCTCGTCAAGGTTCGTGTTTCGGAGTTATAGAGTTGAGAGAGGGTTATAACCACAAATAAGTAGTCTCCTCGTCTGTAGTGGCCTTCTCGGCTTTGAGGAGGTGAATTAAAATAAATATATATATATATATATATATATATATATATATATATATATATATATATATATATATATATATATATATATATATATATATATATATATATATATATATATAAATAAACACTGTGGACAAATAATCTTTTGAAAAAAATGTTGCATGAAGTTGTGAATGCTTTTTTTTTGTTTATTATTAATATTTTTAAATTTAATTAGTTTATTTCATTAAAATAATTAACAAAAAAACTTATTCAATCTAAAACAAATTGTTTTTTATTTTGAATTGAGCAACTTTGCTTTTGGGTTTTCCCAAATACCAGTTACTGCTTCTCCAACATAAGTTGTAATCTGAAATGGAACAATGCATGTAGAAACAATGATTCTTCTTTTTTTAAGATAAAAGAGACATTTTTGTTTTACTTTGGCTAGGCGAGTCTGCTTTGTAATAATGATATACAAGATTTCTTTTTTTTTTAATTTAAAATGTGTGGTCTTGTAATTTGTATATTTATTTTTTATTGCATCTCAATATTTGCTGTGTTAGTGTTGCATGGTTTCAATGGTTACAGTAACATCCTTTGCAGTTAATAAAAATCATGTTACAGTATCAGTAAAGGTTGTTACTTGTTTCAAACAAATTTACTTTTTGTAATTTTTAATTTTGCTTTAATTTTTTATAAGTTGAAAAAATAAAACATGTTTAAAAAAGAGCTGCATGTTTACATATTTAAATAGAAATAATTCAAATCAGCAAAAGTTTAGAGGATATTACAGAAAAGCATATCTGTTGCCTAAAAGTAATGAGTTGCGGTAAAATAAATACAAAAACTGCCTGCTACTGATACAGTAGTACTGATACTGTATCAGTACTACTGATACAATAGTACTAATACATAGAAACTGAGGATTACATTACATTAATTTATTTCAAAAAAGTATTAAAGATGGCAATTATGTCATCCAACTGTTTATATAAAAATTTACTTTCACTTTCACTCTCTGATCTGCTCATTTTGTCGACAAATTTAATTGTGGTGGCTGTTATGCAAGTTATATTGGAGAAACCTCCAGACATTCAACAACTAAAATAAAACAAGTGACAAAATATTCTATGTATATAAACATAATTTTATCTATTAATTCCTTTAATTAATTTTTATTTAATTTTTTGATTAATTTAATTAATTTTAGGCTAGTTTATATTTTTTTGAAGACTTTTTTGAAAATGTAAAATGCTATAATATTATAATTTTAATTTATAATTTAAATAATTTTTATATAAATGAACAATCTGAATCATTATGTGTATTTCTGTCTGTTAAATTTTTTCTATTTTAAATTTTTTTCCAGAGTTTGTTATTTTTATTGTAAAATCTTTTGAAAATGTAAAAAAGGAAACATGTTAAAAATAAAAAACATTTATTTGAATAGGCAATTAAGGATGAGCACCAGGCTCTTCAAATGCTTTGCAATTCAACAGAAGAAAAGTATAAAAATCTACAGTTTAAATACCAAGAGTTGGTAAGTTGAATTTTTACTTAAAGTTATATGCAATTGTATAAACGTGAGAATAAAAATTGAATGTTTATTCCACATTGTGTATATTATTATTTCAAATTAGAACTTTGCAGTACACACAATTGCTTAAGTAATACAGGCAAGCAACTGTGTTTTCTAAATTTAAAAAAAATGTTAAAAAGTTACTAAAATTGTTTGATTTAAGTATGTGAAAAAAAATGATTTTGTCAACAAATCTGTAGTTACCAATCCAAAGGAAAAATATTTCAAACTAACCTGTTATTTTTTTTTCTTCCTGAATTTAGGTAAAACAAGAAAATATTATGATATTTTGATAAAAAAATGATAATAAATACAAATGGGTCAAAAATAAAAAGTAAATAAAAAAACCACTAAATAGATAAAAAATGTTTAATAAGATAATTATTAAAAAAAAAAAAAAATTAACAAACACAAATTGTTCTTTTGTAATTTTTACTTTGAAATCAGTATCAACTAAAAAATTTTATTACAGAGCTTTTTTATTTAAAATTTAATAGACACCTGCATGAGCATCTTGTCTTTGCACTGCATGTTTAACTAGATCATAACACCGAAAGTATCAGTGGCTAGTTCCAGATCAACTGGCAAATCTAACTCGTAAATTCAACACCCCAAAAATATTTGCTTTCAAATTGGGGAATTTCAATCACAATCAAGCCAACAACCTACTTTTGTCGTGTGCGATATTGTGTACTGGAAACTGTTTCTTCTGAACACCACAATCAACTCTCTATAACAGACTTAGTGTTTTAGATTATTCATTTGAGATTACAGATTTGAGATTATTATTATTATTATTATTCAGATTATTAATTGTTCTGATATAACAGCTGTACAACGGCTGTTATATCACTGTACAACAGTGATATAACAGCTTGTACAACGAGTCACTTCAACAGGTCTGTCTCATTCATTCTCCTTTTGAACAGACTTTTTGTTTTAGATTATTCATTTGAGATTACAGATTGTTATTTATTGTAATCACTAATCAAAAGCTTGCATAACAAGTCACTCCAACAGATACTCAATCATTTCTTTGACTCAAAGTCTAAAGAGTCTTAATCAATAGCATTTGTTCTTTATCTAAACGTTATCAAGAGGTCATAGACAATAATGGCACATATATAAAATTAGCTTTGAAATTGAAAATTTCAAATAAATTTAAAAGATAATAAATTTAAAAGACTAATGATCTGTTTACATTTTTTAGCTGACCCAATATTTTTTAAAAACTTTGGCATATAAAATTCGCCGAATGGTCACACACGATATATATATATATATATATATATATATATATATATATATATATATATATATATATATATATATATATATATATATATATATATATATATATATATATATATATATATATATATATATATAAAATAAAAATAAAAATAAAAAATTTTGTAAAATAAAAAACAATTCAACAAATTAAAAATATGCTAACAACAATGAAAGGACTAATAATGGAAAAAAAACATTAATGCTAATGTGTAAACATAATTAGTGTAGTGATAAGTAGACAATAATCATATCATATCTAATCATAGACAAATAATCATAATCTAATCATACACAATAATGGTAATAAATAAAATTAGCTTTGAAATTGAAAATTTCAAATAAATTTTAAAAAATAATAATCTGTTTACATTTTTTAGCCGACCCAATATTTTTTAAAAACTTTGGCATATAAAATTCGTCGAATGGTCACACACGAGCAGTGAACGCCTGAGGGAATTGTGTGTGTGTGTGTTTGTGTGTGAGTGTGTGCACAAAAACAATTATTTTAAAACTTCCATTTTATTTTAGGTACAAAGGTGTATGCATCTAAAAGCATTAGAAGCAGATCTTCTTAACATGCAAAATGAAGTTTTGGCTAGGTATTATTAATTCAGCAGATCATACTTTTTACTTTTTTTTTTACGTTTCAGTAATTATTTAACTTGTTTTTTTAGTAGGAGGCAACAAAAGCTTCAACAAGAATTGATCGATGCAGCAAATGAACCTATTTTTCTACCACCTGTGTAATAAATAAAACAAATCATTAAATACTTACATTAAATAGTTATAATTTATATGCATGATTTTTATGGCCATAAAATATTTGAACTTATAAAGATTGGTGGTGGTTGTGGGTGGTATTAAAAATTAATCTATAATACTTTATATTTATACAACTTAAATTATACAACTTAGCTAGCAGATTTTTAAATCAAATTTTCGCAAGCTAATTAGTAAAACTAGACACAACCATCTTATTGGAAGGAGAGACCATTTTATTTTTCTGTTTTTCTTAACCCTTAATATGATGCATTTGAATGTATACTGTGTATACTAAAAAGTTTATTTGGATGGTTAGTAAAAGCAGCTTTTTTGAAAATGCTTGATTCAACCCCCTAAATGTGTTTAATATAATAAAAAAGGACTGTGTTTAAAGATTTCGAAAATAAAAAAATGTTTTAAGCGGTTCCTCAACACCTTTGAATATTTATTGGGTCCCTAATATTTCAAAAAAAGTTCAACCTGAATCTCAAAAAAAGAAAAATTATATTAAAATTTCAAAAATAATAATTATTTCATACAAAATGATCATTTTAGATTTGATTGCATAAAAACTAAGGTTTTTTATATTTAAAAAAAATATATTCATTTTACATTTTTTTTTTTTATAACAAATTAATTTTAAGCTAAAAACCCATTAACATAACATAATATACTTTTGTATTAAAAACCCATTTAGTATTCAATAAGGTTTGTATGATCTTCTAAGAATATTTTTTATTCAAAGATTTTTTAAATCCAGTGTTATTTTATTATATTAAACAAATTTAGGAGGTTGGAGAATTCAAAAAAATTGCTTCTATGAACAATCTTAATGTCCATACATGTTTTTTTTTTTATATAATTGTAAAATTTTAAATATATATTAAAACATGAAAAAAAAAAATTTACATTTTTTTAATTATTTTTTAGATCATTGAGCCCTGAAATTGGTAAGAGATCTTCAAGCTGTTCTAACCTAGGAATGATCTGCTTAACTTCTGTCCCAGATCGACCCACACAATCAACAGTAGGTTCTGTTAATAAAAGAATAAAGATATTTTTTATATAACATTTATCTTTTCTACACAAAGCATTTTTAAAAGGTTTGGTTATTTTCATCATTTGACCCATTTTACAATGTTAATCTTACATTCAAATAAATTTATACAATAACAAGCTGACTGCGGGAAGTAGAAGACAAAATGTCTTATCATCAAGCCCCTTCGTGAAAATAGAAAAAAATAAAATAAAATATTACAACTTCAAATTATATATAAAAGAGTGAAATTAAAAAAAGTATAAAAAAAAAACAAATTATAAAGTTTGAATAACTTAAGTTTTAAAAAAATTTTTTTAAGTTTGACAAAACTAAAAAGTTTAAAAATAATAAAAAATTTAAAATGTTTGAAAAAAACTATTTACAAATTGGTACATATGCGTATACATATTCAATAAACTTCATAATATATATTTAAATATACAAAAGATGTTTTAAGTTTCCGTTAAGATTCCGAACATTTTATAAATTTAAATTCATCATTCATATTTTTTTTAAAAACAAAATTAAAACAGACAAACAAATAGAAACAAGAAGAATATATATATAAATACATAAGAAGGAAGTGTATATATGTGTATATATATATATATATATAT